GAGAGTGGCCCTGAGAGTGGCCGGTGCCTGAGGGTCCGAGCCGGCCCAGGTCCGGTACCTCCTCCAACCAGCCCACGGCCAGGAGCAGGGTGTCCTATCCATCTACACACCCTGGGGTCACCTCACCCCACCTTCCTCTCATGGGGCCCCTGCCGTACCTGTCACCTGCACATTCAGTGTCTTTTGTTGGTAGGTATGTTTTTCATAATAGTCTCTCTCTATGTGGAAGATGTAGGTCCCTGTGTCTCTCTTCTTGGCGTCCCTGATGCTCAGCGTGCAGCTGTTGGTCATGGGGTCCCCAAGGAGGTGGAATCGGCCCCGAGTCTCTGTCTTCACCCATCGGTTTGGGTTGTTTGTGACCACTGGAGGATCATACTGTATTCTGTCCCCAGACCAGAACCAGGAGATGTAGAGTGGAGAGGAGTCCCAAGGTGATTTCCCAGGATAGAGGAATGTGCAGGGAACCAGGACGCACAGGCCTTCCTGCACCGTCACCCGCTCCGGCACTTGTAGCTCGAACCCCTCATCCTGCTGCAGGGACCCTGGGGGGACACAGGGACTCAGAGACCGCCCCGTTCCCAGCCTGTGTGCTCCCCTCACCCCTCAGCCCACTCACCCCCCCACAGCAGGGGCAGCAACAGCAGGGGCAGCATGTCTGTGGGCCGAGTGGGGAGCCGGGTCCCCTGTCAGGGAAGGAGATGCGGGGAGGAGCCAGGAAGCCCCAACAGGAAGCGTGTGGGTGAGAGAGCGGGGCCACCCTGAAGGGGAACTTGGGACATCAGCTGTGGAGTGGGGGTGGGTCAGGGGGATCCTGCAGCCCCACCCCCTGTTAGAGTTCCTTACAGGGAAAGTGGTGGGGTTTTGTTTGTTTGATTGTTCTTTGATGCAACTAATGAGGAAGAAGTAAACCCAGCATGTTTTGAGAGTGGAAGTGTGTCTTCCAAGATGGGCGTTGTGAAGACTTTCCTGCCATTCTGCTCTTTGCAAAGTGCTGAAATGGATGTATGTGTAGTCGTAAGAGGAGACAGGCTGCAATTCGGAGACACATTTTTGAGGTCGGAAGCCTTCTGTAGGGTTCCCTATGGCCTCCTCCTGACATCCATGCCCGTGTGTCATCTCCTGCCCTCGAGTGTAGGCTAGACTGAGGCTTGTTTCTAGCCACTAGAATATGGCCAAGGCGATGGGGCGTCACTCCTGAGATCAGATTACAAAAGACTGTGATTTCCGCCTTGCTAGAAAATTTTCCGTTGGCTTCTCCACGATCCTGCATTGCTGACAGAGAGCAGCTGTGTGGAGGGCTGCCATGTTGGAGAAGTCCACCTGGAGAAGAACTGAGGACAGCCCCATAGTCCAACAACCCGTGAGGAACTGGATGGTGCCAAAAGGCACTGAGCGCGTGTGGAAGTGGATCACTCCCCAATGGAGCCTTCAGATGAGACCACAGACCTGGAACTTACACCTGACTTGTCACCTAGAGAGAAACAGTGCAATAGAGGGCCACTGTGAATTGAACTCAGATTCCTGACCAGTAGAATCTATGAGGTAATAAAAGCATGTTGTTTCAAGCTGCTTGGTTTGGTGGTGATTTGTTACCCAAGAATAGGTTGCTA